GACCTGGTCTAATGTGGTCTGGATGTGAAAAAAGCACTGAAATCTCCCTTGTTTGTATTTTCACAAATAGAATAAAGGTTTCAAAAATCTGAAACGGAGTTATAAATAATCTTTAGACTCTCTGGGATAATCCAGTCCAGATTTGATGAGTCTAGGTCTAGTGGTTTTAGATCAGGACCTGGTCTAATGTGGTCTAGATTTTTAAAAGCTGCAAAATCTCCCTTGTTTGTATTTTCATAAATAGAATAAAGGTTTCACAAATCTGAAACTGTGTTATAAAGAATGTTAGACCCTCTGGGATAATCCAGTCCAGATTTGATGAGTCTAGGTCTAGTGGTTTCAGATCAGGACCTGGTCTAATGTGGTCTAGATAAAAAAAAAAAGCATCAAAATCTCCCTTTTTGTATTTTCACAAATAGAATAAAGGTTTCAAAAATCTGAAACGGTGTTATAAATAATCTTTAGACTCTCTGGGATAATCCAGTCCAGATTTGATGAGTCTAGGTCTAGTGGTTTTAGATCAGGACCTGGTCTAATGTGGTCAGGATGCGAAAAAAGCACTGAAATCTCCCTTGTTTGTATTTTCACAAATAAAATAAAGGTTTCACAAATCTGAAACGGTGTTATAAAGAATCTTTAGACCCTCTGGGATAATCCAGTCCAGATTTGATGAGTCTAGGTCTAGTGGTTTTAGATCAGGACCTGGTCTAATGTGGTCTACATGTGAAAAAAGCACCAAAATCTCCCTTTTTTGTATTTTCACAAATAGAATAAAGGTTTCACAAATCTCAAACTGGTTTATAAATCATATTTAGACTCTCTGGGATATGCAGCGATTTAAGAGGTTCAAACACGGAGGATTGTTCGCTCAGCGCTGTAAATTAAATGTCCCTTAACTTTCCCCTTAACTGCCGAATCGGATGCTCTGAATCTGAAGCCAACTTCAGCGTTGTCAAAATCAGCTGATCACAACGTTCACGCTCTGTGGTCAACCTGCTGCAGTTTTATTTACGACAAAGTGGAGAAAAACACGCAGTTGCAAATTTCCTCAGGGTGTTAATGGAAGAGTTTGAAATCAGACAGAGGTCGAATAAGTACTCAGACCTTGTGTAGGAATACTCTGTTACAGTAAAAGTCCTGCATTAAAAATGTTACTCAAGTAAAAGTAGAAAAGTATTAGCATCAACATATAGTTAAAGTACCAAAAGTAAAAGTAGTCATTGTGCAGATTGGTCCATTTCAGAATAATATATATCATATGTTTTATAATGATTGATCATTAAAGTGTGATCAAAGCTGGTAAAGGTGCAGCTAGTTTGAAGGACTTTGTATACTGCAGGGTAGCTTGTGAATTTACTCCAGGTGGAACTAAAGTCTGATTCAACACTTGATTATATTTCACATCATTCATCCAGATCTGTAAAATAACTAAAAAGGTATTAAATACATGTAATGGAGTAAAAGTACACCATTTACCTCTGAACTGTAGTGGAGTAGAAGTACACAGTAGCATCAAAGTCAAGTAAAGTACAAGTATCTTAAATTGTACTTAAGTACAGTACTTGAATAAGTGTACTTAGTAACTTCCCACATCTGAAATCAGATATGACTTCAAGTCATGTGATCATTTCTTAGTATTTGATCCTTCAACTTGGCCTCATGAAATGCAAGGACTTAACAGTTTTGGCAACAAGTTTTGGAGAAAGCAAAACGGAGGCTTAAAAAGAGACAGGGAGGTGCATCTTCATCGTCTTCATCATCTAGCATGCAAGAAGTGTGAATAGAGGACAGTGAAGGAGACAATGAGGAGGACCACGCTTCTTGTGGGGTGAGTACCAAATGCTGTCTCCTGGCACTCATCTGAGTAACTCACTAAAAAAAGTTATGTGCACCCCTGTTAATAGCATTAGTTGTATTATTGAGGTACAACAAAGGATATCCATTCATTTTAGCTGACTATTTGTATTATTATTTTAACTGTTTTTCCATTACATTTTTGGATTCTTGTACCACATTCCTGCATCGTTTCTGAACATCTTTAGATTACCACTGGATTTAGTTAACGACCGACAGGTGTGTTCAAAGCGTTTCCACGGCAACGCCCTGCCAGTGAATGAGAGACAGCCTGTCAGGGAATGTATTGACAATATTGTGCTGCACTATTGCTTCTAAGTAAAAAACTGTAACTCCAATCAGCTAAATATCCTACCCGAGTATTCAGGATAACAGATGAACACCGATGACTCTGTGTTTGCTAGATGTAAGTCCGTTTGATTAAATCAGCATATTGTTGCGGCCGTGACAAATGTCCCTACATTATGATCACCAAATTACATATGAAGAGTGAAGATTGTGGCCAGCCGAGCAATAATTGGGAAACAACTCTTCAGATTTTCCAGCTCCTCTCCCCTCAACCACTCTAACTCTTAACTCTCCCATACACACCCATTATAAAATGGGAAACAGTGTGAAATGTTCACAAAACGTAAGCTGCGACTACGTTAGAACTGTACTAGCTATCAAAAAATATCCAATTAGTCGAATGAAGTCAATAGTCTCGAGAACCGTTTAAACTTGTAATTTCTGTTCTACGTTTAAGTATGCGGAATCTGTATGGGGTCGAAGTGGGGTGAAATTTTTTAGCTCTGTTCAAATGGATTTCCCATTCATTCCTATGGGACAAATGATTGCAGAAAAAGCAACCCGATCCCAGTCATTCCGCACCTTTTGATGTGTTTTTTGTGTGTTTCGTGTCAACACTGCCGGACTAGTAGCATAACAACATTTGTTGAGGAAGAAGGAGAATAAGATTAGATAAGTATGTCGAATACTAGACTGTGTGTGGTTTCGCCAGTCACACAAATGATATTAGTGTAGCTCTTTGTTATCTGCCACTGTGCAGAAATGCCGACTTTAAACAGAATGAATAGACATGCAAAAAAAAAAAAAAACAGCTTGGCATTTAAATGTTATGAATAAAGCTTCAAATTTAATTTGAATGCAATAGAGCTGCAACAAACATTATCTTTGCACTCTAACCCTAGGGATTTTTTTCTATATCGTCTACAGATCCCGACTGCTTTGTATTCCAATTCACATTTTTTTAAAGATTGCCCACTTTCCATTATATTTTCACAGGTACCATGATATGACTCTGAACAAACAATATTCCTCTGTGCCCAGAGGCTAGAATGTGTGTGTCGTTGCCCCCCTTCCATACTGTGTTAGAGTTCTCTATAGTGATTTTTTTATTAAATACAAATATACAACAACTATAGCAAACCAAACCTCTTCTATGCAAAGTGTTATAAAAGGTAATGGGGACTTAAAGTGTTTGTTACACTGTGTCCTTGAAAAGTCACACAAACAGAATGTTAAAACTTTGGATACGTGTACCAGTGTGCGGGTGGCGATGGCGTCATTGAGGGGGGGCAGGTGGGGATTCTGGCACACCCGGGCCATGAGCCGCAGGAGAAGATGGAGGCGTCTTCTGTTGGGGGGGGGCAGTAGGAGGGTGCTGAGCTGCAGAGCTTCAGTCGCCACCTCCTGCTGCTGCTGCAGACCTGCAGAGACATGAGGAAGAGGAGAGTCAAACACACACTGTGCACACACATATCAGTAGATGCATGTGGTGAAGCACTCACTGAGAATGTTGACAAAGACTTCGTAGAGATGGTAAGTCAGCAGTGGTTCTTTGAGCCTCTGGAAGTAATCTGCTACTGTTTTCAGAACATCCCTCTCAAAACCAGGATACGCCGGCTGTTTGCTTCCATTGCCATTAGGCCCTGAGAAAGCACACAGAATGCAAGACAATAGCAAATATACAGTTATCCCTGTTATAGCAATGTATCCAGATTTATTGTAATTTCAACTCAACTGCATTACATTTAAGTGATATATTCCTTGAAATGTAATGATGTGACTGCAATGAACTTTCACTATGGGGCCTCTTTGCTAGCTTTGATCCATGCCTATGAAAGTGCTGTTGGCATGGGAAGATTCACAGGGAAGAATGTGCGTACAATCCCTGCTTCTTTTTCAGCACCTGCCTCCGTGTGTGTGTTTAGAAATGGTGTGTTCTGTATTGTTCAGGATCAGTTTCAGGCATCTCTTATTAACACATTATTTGTTCGTCTCTCACTTTAAGGATATTCACATTGAATGTCTACGACAAACCCCAGTTAATGTGATCGTGCAGATCAAAATGCAAACCAGCTACTTAGGTTTTTATGGTTTATGTGTGCGGAATCACTCACATTATGTAAACAGTTCAACTCAAAGTAAGATATCTACCATCTGGAACCTACTTTTTCAAAATGATCATTAGTGAAGTAACTGTAGCATAAGCTCTCAGGTTTAACATTGTACTTATGTCCTTGAGGTGGAAGACTCACTGCAGTCCTGAAGCAGATGGTGAGTTTTTTCAAAAGTGAGTATAAAATGTACACTTACAATTGGCGAGGCATTTCATTGCTGATACCACCCAATATGGCATGTCCTCTGGAGATGCAAAAGAAGATAGGGGAGTTGTAATATATGTTGCAACAAAATACATTTTCTTTTTTTATTTTGAAGCAAAGCATCATACCTGCTTTGTTCTCCAGTACGACTATGCCCGTCTTATTCACGCTGAACACGTTGTGAACGATGTGCTTGCCGTTCACATGCGTAGGGTTTAAAACGCCATCCAGTGACTTTAGGCCCAACACTCTCTGTAAACTGAAACAAAAGAGTTGCCATTAATTATCTAGAGTGGTGAACATTGTAAACATCCCTATCTTCATGGTATTGCATATATGTGTGATCTGGCTCTCATCTCCACATTAACACAACACCAGAAACCTCCTGTGGAGTTGGGTCTAAAGGCAAACAGTTAACATGTTAATATGAAATATAAGCCAATTTAAAAGAAAAAAGTAAGTAAGTGTCATGGTAGAAAATGTGTTAGGGAACCACTGATTTAGAGCAAATGTTAAAAACAACATGAACAGATGAAGTGTTTGCGAAAAGTTCTGGATAGGTTACATACTGCTCAGCTGTCATTGATTTCCAGATGTGGTCCACTTGCTTCGTAGTTATCTCCTTCCTTCGTATGAGCTTGCACTCATTCACATCCCCAATAGCAACACTGTGCCTCTTATTCCACAGATCTGAGGTCTGATTAAAAAAAAATGGATACATGAATGAGAAAAGGTTACTTTTGACTTAGATTATGAGGGCAGAACAAAATGTAGGTAGTGTGTAACTGCCTAAAGTACAATACAATAGTACAAAAACAAACAGCATTCATGTTAACAAATAACACACATTTCATTTCTGTCAATGTTTGAATCACATGTTAACATTAATCGGGTTTTTTTTCAAACCACAGTTTTTTTCTCCATAATGCAAATATAGTGAACAAAGTATTAGAAAAGCCCTTCAATATAATGCTATTAAATATATCCATAAGCTGCACCATAAAATGAAGTTCAACAAATAAACTTCAGCTGCAGTAAGTACAAATATAGGCCTCTTGTACTGCCTTACCTCTCAATGCACTTTGCTTTAAAAGTGCAGAATGACTGATTACAGCTGTAATTGCATCAGAGTAGAGACTTGAAATCATCTCCTCTTGCCATTTGCTCTCCATGAATACGCTTAAGCACATTAAGCCCTGCGTGAGTCTAGGCAAGGCAGTGGAGCAGCTGACACATATTTGTCTTCCTCTCACCATGACAGAAGACTTCAGTGGTGCTATGTTTTCCCGCTGAGGTAATTCTTCGTAGTCATCCCAACGAATGAGTCTGGGAAGGTCACCGCAGTCTCTAAACAGAGGCTTTGTTGGGAAGGATTTCAGGGGAGACAGTGGGGGGAACCTGAAGAGAGACAACAGCACTGGGTTTAGCTGAAACAGATGAAGGGGCCAACTCTATAGAAGCAACAACAACACTAATATAGTGTTGGGAAGGACACATTTATTTCGACTTAAATTGACTACCCAGTACAAACACCTGATAACCCTTATTTGAATCATTCTTTCATAAGATCATGTCAAATGCTCAAAAAGCCTAACCCAGACTTATTTTCCCCCATTTGACTGAGCCAAGAACGTGATGCTGCTGTGAGGTGTAGGATTGGAAGCGGGACTTAAGGTAAGAGCAAGAGCAAAAGCAAAAGCGCTCTATAGAGTGGTGCAGGAATGAGTCCTAGAACCCGTAAAGGAGTGAGCATTTCACCATGTCTGGTTCCCTCACTCGAAGTCAAAGGTTTATTGAACTCGTTTGTTGTTCGATGCCTGTTGTGAGGTCTGTTGAACTTAGAATATGTCAGTAAAAACTTAACCATTAATGTCTGAAGCTTTTCCTTGTCTTAAAAATGATGTTTGCTAACAAGTTACTAAGATTAGAGTACTAAATGTAATCTCGCTGATCACAAGTTTGTTAGCTTAGCGGTGGTGACACGAACCTATGCGACATTGATGTCATTGGTTTATAGCCTAACGTTAGCTTTCTACTTCTGCCGATTGCATTCACTCTTCAACTATAACAACATTTGTGGTCAAATGTTTAGATTATTCTGCTGAATAAAACATGTATGTATCATAAACGTGTTCGCCACAGATCTTATCTTCCTTCAATATTGTGAAATCCAATGGAATAATCCCATTACTTTATGTCGAGGGAGCATTTGCGATGCTTCCCTGTCAGCCTTAAAAAATACGACATTAATGCACCACTCGTGCAACACTTGTTGCGTCAAATACCATGAACAACAGTACAGGACGACAATTAAGTACCTGTACAGATGGCCATTGTCTTCAAAGTCCTCTGTCCCGTGGCGTCCTTTGATGTCTTCGATTACATGAGCCTTGAGGAACTTCCTGAGCAGCTGCAGAGTCTGGTAACGAGTCACTTCGGGCCCAAAGTTGTAATTGCGCCTCAGCAGATCGTGCAGATAATCGACAGCCTCAGCTCCTGTGAAACTGCAATCATAGGAGCGGAAGTTCGCCCAGTGCCTTCTCAGCGGCAAGCCTCCACGGAACAGTTTAATGGTTTCATTCCACTGCAGAGAAGGGAGACACATGTGACAGAGGGAGGGAGACAATGTGGTGAGACAAATGCTGAGAAAACTTCTGCTACAGACAGTGAATTCAGATGTGTTTGTTTGCAATCTAGTGTAATACTGTAAGATATGACATGTAAATATGTCACTTAGGCTGCTTCTATGATAGACAGTGTTGCCAGATCAGATGGATAGTTGCAAGCCTCACTCAGTAAAAAAATACCTTAAATCATAACCCACCAGAAACTACATTAAACCTTTACATATGCAATAGAAGGGTAAAAAGATCACAATCATACAAAGTTTAATGTCTGAATCAAATAACCAAAGATAAGGGTGCAGTCAGTCAACGATAACTACATATAATAGGTCAGTGTTTCCCATACATTGATTTATTTGTGGCAGGCCGCCACAATTAAATATCATCCGCTACAAATGGATCTCATAAAAAAAAAGAAAAAAAAGAATGTTGGTAGTCTAATCAATGGATAGTGAGGTGGGCTGATGATCACCTCCAAGCGTCCGCCCTAAACTCGAGCGTGGCTCA